TGACCATAATCCCAAACTAAACTAGTCCCACCTGCCTGCTCTTGGCCCATATCCATCTAAACCCTTCTCATTCATGAACTTATCTAAATGCTTTTAACTGTTGTAACTCTACCTGCATCCACCACTTCCTCAGGAAGTTCATTCCACACACGAGCTGCTCTCTGTCTAAAAAAATTTTTTTAAAAATTAAAAAAATGCTTCTTCATCTTGGCATTTCTTAAAGAACAAAGGCTTGAGGAAGGGTTAACTCATCAGTTAATGTCAGGAATGTGTGTGGGACCATTTGATTTTCCTGCAATGGGTTCAGAAGAAGGTGTTCTTGCTGCTGGGGACAACTTTCTTACTAGATCTTCACTCAATATCAAAGGCGGTTGCTGCACACCCTGAGTAAAGCATCTCCAGGCATCGCAATCTGCGGAAACAAAGCGAAAACCCAAAGAACTGTGGATGGTGAAAATCAGAAGCAAGAACAGTAATTGCTGGAAAAACTCAGCAGGTCTGGCAGCAAAAGTGGAGAGAAAGCAGAGTTAATGTTTTGGGTCCAATGACAATTCTTTGGTTGCTGCCAGACCGACTAAGATTTTCCAGCAAATTCTGTTTTTGTTTCTGATTGTTTGTGCTTCCCAGTGGCGACGGTTGATGTGACACACAGCGAGCAATTTCTTTCTTCAAAGAGTCTTCGAGATGTTTGCATGGGGCTCCCTCTGTGTTGTGTTATCTGGCGGTCAGCTCTCTGTACAATATGGGTGTTTGGGCAGGCAATAATCATCCCTCCAGATACCATTACCTGCCTAATGTTGTTGGCTTTGCAGGAGGACAGTCTTGGTGCTGGTGGTAACAGTGATTTCCAACATTTGTGATATTATTCTGTTGGCTCATCTTGAGGCTGCTGAGGAGTCAGTGCTGGTAGAGGTGCAATAGAAGGTGTAAATGATAGGTATATTACAGGTGTACAAGACCTGGTGACTCTGCACTGTACAGGAAGGTTGTGTCAATTCATACACCTTTGTACACTTTGCCTCTGTGCTCTGAGGCTGTGGTCATTCCAAACTTATTTGTAGGATTCACCGAATAATACGCTTTCAATAGTTTGTTGTCCACTTCTTTGTGTTTGCTGGCTTCAAATGAAAGGACACTCCCGAAATAGGTATACTGCTTAAAGGTAAGACACTGTGGGTGCTGGGGATCTAAAACAAACACAGGAAATGATGGAGAAACTCAGGAGGCCTGGCAGCATCTGTGGAGAGAGAAACAGAGTTAATGTTTCAAATCTGTTATGATACTGAGTGTCATAGAAAGTGATACAGTCATACATTTCAGAAATGTTCTTCAGCTCATGGAGTCTGTGCTGACTTTTCTACATTGATCCCACTTTCCAGCACTTGGCCTACAGCCTTGAATCTTATGACCCTTTAAGTGCTCATCCGCATTTATATTTAAAGGTTTGAGGCTTCCCGCCTCAACTCCCCTCCCAGACCCAGGATGCCTGACCTTCACTTTAAAATGATGCTCCCTCATTATTGATCCTTCAACTAAGGTGAATAGAACCGAAGAAGAACTGTCAGAACAGACTTGAAATGTTAAGTCTGTTTCTCTGTCCGCACATGTGCTGAGCTCCTTTAGCGATCTCTGTGTTCGTATTTAGGTATGCTGTTTGATGGTTTCCTCACTGACCTTGCTAGGTGCTCTATATCTATGTTGCAGTGCAGATCGAAGCAAGACTTCAGTTTTCTTTCAACTGGTTTTTAGTCCAAAGTGCTGTGTTGCCTCGGGCGCATGTGTAGCAACACATTGCAACTGTGACTGACTGTGGCGAGGAGAGAAATTCACAGATGAGATTTTCTTGTGTCTTTGTATGAGAGCAAAGATGTCTGAGGTCGAAAAGATCACCATCTGCCCAGAAGGATATGTAACTCCCTCCTTAAGAATTTCCGCTACCTGCTGTAGCATCTTGCTGAAAGAGATAGTGAATAAGGTCAGAGTCAGAGCTAGTATAGGTCTCTGCTACACGCCGTTGGAGATCTGGAGGCCTTGAGTGTTGGTTAACAGGCCCATACTGACTTCACTGTGACCAGGAATCTGGGAGGGCCATCTGAAGTTTTTAAGGATTTTCTGAAGTTCATCTCTGCTGACAGTGTCGAATGCTTTGGTGAGGTTTACAAAGGTGATGCACAGTCCCTCAGTTTTGCTTATGACACTCGTCTTGTTTTTGTCCTGGCATAAATAACATGTTTAAGAATCACAGAATCATGCAATGCAGAAGAGGCCCTTCAGCCCATTTGAGTTTGCACCAATATGTGAGGAACACCTGACCTTCAACCTCATCCCATTTACCAGCACTTGGCCCACAGCCCTAAATGTTATGACGTGCCAAGTGCCTCATCCAGGTCGTTTTTAAAGGATGTGAGGCAATTCGCCTGTATCACCCTCCCAGGTAGCACATTCCACACCGTCACCACCCTCTGGGTACCTCACATCCCCCCAAACCTCCTGCCCCTCACCTTGAACCTGTGTCCCATTATGACCGACCCTTCAACTAAAGGGAACAGCTGTTCCTTATCCATTCCATTCACACCCCTCATCATCTTGTACACCTCAATCAGATTGCTCTTCAGTCTTCTTTGCTCCAACGAAAATAATCCAAGCCTATCCAACATTTGCTCATAACTTAAATGCTCTATCCCAGGCCTCAGCCTGATGAATCTCCTGTTCATCCTCTCCAGTGCAATCACATCCCTCCTGTAATATGGTGACCAGAACTGCACACAGTACCCCAGCTGTGGCCTAACCAAAGTTCTATACAACTCCAATATGACTTCTCAGCTTTTGTAAAGTATGCCTCGATTGATGAAGGCAAGTGTACCTCCCATATACCTTTCTCACCATCCTATTAACACGCCCTTCCACCTTCAGAGATCTATGGACAAACATGCCAAGGTCCCTTTGTTCCACACCATTCCTTGAAAACATTCTTGACAAATTACTCCTTCCAGAGCTTGCTGGTAATGCTGAAACACAATATCCAGCTGTTCAACGACAAGACCCCCATGTGACAATGACCATCGTAATAGTTTTTAGTGACGCAGGTGCATAGTATCATAGAATCCCTACAGGGTGGAAGCAGACCATTCAGTCTACACCAAAGCTTTGAAGGGCATCCCAACCAGACCCAGACCCAGACCCCCAACCGTATCCCTGTAGTCCTGCAATTCTCATGGCTAATCCACCCAGCCTGCCCATCTTTGGACTGTGGGAGGAAACCGGAGCACCCGGAGGAAACCCATGCAGACACGGGGAGAAGCTCCAACACAGACATTTGCCTGAGGGTGGAATCGAACCCGGGTCCTTGATACTTGTGAGCCAGTAGTGCTAACTTTGAGCTACCGTATCAGCCAAAATATGTAAACAATTTACTTTTGTGTTATAATTTTTTAATTTAACCTATTTTCCTAATCAACCTATTCAGAGGTGCTATTATACACCTCTAGGGCAGGTGGATCTTGAACTCTGATCTCTTAGACAAGGGGTAGGGACACTACCACTGTTCCACAAGAGGGCCGCCCCCTTAGTTGAAAGTCAAATAATGGTGATTGTGTTCCTAACAGTATACAGTGCCACTTGGAATGAACTGACTGCCCACTTTGATGTTGCTATGGATGGTTTTCATATGGGATGTTGAGTATGTGGGGCTCATTATGAGTCCACTCTGTCCGTACTTTGATGGATGGCCCTACAACTACGAGGATGAGTCCCAAAGGCCAATCTGTCGGAGCACAGCCAACTCAGTGCCAACTGAGGACATCGATTCAGGACTTGTTCACCACTGACAGGGCCCATCAACACACCAGGTCCTCAATGCCTTCAAATAAAATAATCGGACAAATTCAACATGAAGATCGGTAGGAAAACAAGTTGTGGGGGGATACAAAGAGTCTGCAAAGGGATAGAGATAGTTTAAATGAGAGGGCAAACATTGAAATGGAGATCTTGTGGAGAAATTGTGAGGTTGTCCCCCCTTAGGACGAATGGAAAAGCACAATATTATTTATATAGAAAGGGGCTGCAGTAAGCACATCTTATGTGCCCTTGTACATGAACAACAAAAGTTTATCAAGCAGATGGAACAAGTCATTAGGAAGGCAAAAGGAATATTGGCCTTTCGTGCGAGGAGAATGGAGTATAAAGGGAGGGAAGTCTTGCTAAGACTGTACAGGATATTGGTCAGTCCAATGGAATTAGTGAAACATGGAATACTGTTACAGTCCTGACAGATGAAGGGATATACCCACATTGGAAGCAATTCAGAGAAGGTTCACAAAACTGATTCCTGAGGATGAGGGAGGTGTTTTATGAGGAATGATTGTGTCTGCTGTCATAGGAATTGAGAAGAAGGAGAGGTGATCTTATTAAAATGTATAACATTATGTCATGAGGGGTGCAGATAAGGTGAAACACAATGGTCTTTTCCCCAGTGTGGGGGAGCTCAAAATTAGAGGGTATATTTTTAAGGAGAGAGGAGAAAGATTTAAAAAGAACACGAGGAGCAACTTTTTTACACAGATAGTGGTTCATGCGAGGAATGAACTGCCAGAGGAAGTGGTGAATGCGGGTACAGTTACAATGTTTAAAAGACATTTGGCTAAGTACATGAATAGAAACGGCTTGGAGGGATATGGCAGGTGGGACTGGTTTAGTTTGGGATTATGTTTGGCATGGAGTGGTTGGACTGAAGGGCCCGTTTCCGTGCTGTGTGACTCTATGACTCTATAACAGGCTGGTGATGACGTCAAGCCCCGTACAGGTCATGCACAAGCTAGATCTGTACCTTTGGTGAACATGGGAGGCGATGTGCTCTTTGTGCTGAGTGAGGCTTGATGTCTTCCTGATGGTTTGGCTCCTTATCACAGTAAGCATCAAGATTTCAGTGGGTGGGACAGCTCACTCCCAATCCTGTTCTGGCAGCATTCTCAATGTGTTTCATGGGCTTTGTGTTTCCACAGATACAACGGTCCGAACCTAGTGTTAAAGTATGACAGAACCACGAAGCGGCTGCAGAACATCGCTGTTGATGAGCACAGTTCTCCTTACTACTCATTGCGCGATCGACAAGGCAATGCTATAGGCGTAGCGGCCTGTGACATCGATGGTGATGGACAAGAAGAAATATACTTTCTCAACACTAATAACGCCTTTTCAGGTACACAGGGACTGATAGACACAAGGTTCATCTTGTTTGCCTTCCAACTACCAGTTTGTCAGGCCATGCAGTAATAAACAGAATAATGGGTCAGGTACAGCAAATAATCTCTATCAATGTATGGGAATTTGGTGCTGCTCCTAGGAGTGGGAAGCAAGGCCAGTAAGGAACTTGATAATGTGGAGGCTAAAGACCAGGTTCCCAACAGTGGGATGAAATTATGGTACAAAGTCCTTGGTAGTTTGATAGGGAGTTGATCTTCCCATTGGGAAATATGAAGCAGCACTATAGCATGCAGCATGCTCATTAAGAAGCAATTTTCGACTGAATAAGCACATATTTGTGATCGAGAATTGTGAGCTGTCACTTTCACGGCTGTAAGTCAGTGGCGTGAGGACAGGCAAAACAGTCCACTTCTGCAGATGGAATGAGTAACCGCTGCTTTTTCCTCTCTGGGGAAGCATTGACCAATGAGCCAATGTTTGTGATTGGGTGGCATGGAGAAAAGGGCATGGGAGATGGACCGAGGGAGGGAGGGAACGGGGCAAGCAGGGACCACGAGGCAGGGAGCTGACCCAGGGAGGGAAGGGGAATGGGACAGTGAGGGAGTACATGGAGGAACCGGACAATGATGGAGAGCTGGGATTGGGGCTGTGCAGGGAAGTGATGGGGAATGGGGTGGTATGGGGCAGTGATGGGGAATGGAGCGGTGATGGGGAATGGAGCGGTGATGGGGAATGGAGCGGTGTTAGGGAATGGAGGGAATGGGGCAGTGATGGGGAACGGGGCAGTGATGGAGAATGGGGGGGAATGGTGCAGTGATGGGAAACGGGGTGGGGTATGGGGCAGTGATGGGAAATGGGGGGATTGGGGCAGTGATGGGGAGTGGGGCGGTGATGGGGAATAGAGGGTATGGGGCAGTGATGGGGAATGAGGCAGCGATGGGGAATGGGGTTTGGGGCAGTGATGGGGAATGGGGATACAGCACAGTGATGGGGAACTGGGGGCGAATGGGGCAGTGATGGGGAATAGAGGGTACAGGGCAGTGATGTGGCAGTGATGGAGTACATGGGGGTACAGGTGCAAGGAGTCTGACTGAGGGAGAAAGGGTGCATGAGGCTTGGAGACAAGGCAAGTGTGTGGAGTAAGGAAGGGAATTGTGATAGAGTTGTTGGGTGGTGCAAGGTCTTTCCAGGCAAGGATAGTTGGAGAGAGATGATCCAAAAGGGTGCAGTGTTACTGCTGTCAATAGGGATGTTGAACAGAGATATTGGGCAGTGATGGCAGGGGGACATGTGGTGGGGCACATGTGGAGTCAAGTCCCAGAATCAAGCAGCATAGGTGGGACAGTTATCGGAAGGGTTAGGATCAGAGTAGGCCAGAGGTGGATGATGGTGGTAGGCTTAAACTGGGGAGAGGACAAGTGGAGGGTGATGGCTATAGGGTCTATGTGGGGCAGAGTCATAGGGGAAGCTTGAGACTCCCCGACTACTGCCTGTGGCATTCAGGGGTGGGTGGAACGAGCAGAAAGCAAGGCAAGGGTGACTGAGACACGACGGTGATAGTGAGTCAGTCAATAGTGACTGAAGGAGGTTAGATTGTTGAAGGATGTGGGGAGGCGATGGCCTAGTGGTAACATCGTTGGACTGTTAATCCAGATACTGAGATAATGTTCTGGGGACCAGGGTTCGAATCCTATCACGGCTGATGGTGGAATTTGAATTCAACAAACATCTGGAATTAAGAGTTTAACAATGACCATGAATCCATTGTCAATTGTTGGGAAAAACCCATCTGGTTCACTAATGCCCTTTAGGGAAGGAAACTGCCATCCTTACCTGGCCTGACCTACATGTGACTCCAGACCCACAGCAATGTGTTTGACTCTTTAACTGCCCTCTGGGCAATGAGGGATGGGCAATAAATGTTGCCTAGCCAGCGACACCCTCATCCCGTGAACGAATAGAGACCTTCAGAGCTAATGGTGCCTGGGCAGGAAGGGAAACCATTCCAAGAGATTTTTTGGCTATGATCAGATAAATAAGAATGGACCCTGGTGAGAACAAGCCCAATGAGCTGGATGAGTGACATTGGAGGAGGATGGTGTGGTGACCAATACAGTGCCATAAACAGAGGGACAGTTTACTTTCCTTAGTCACACAGAATGTCACTTGTGGCTAGGATAAAAGCCATTTGGTGGCTGGGTGCGGAGACCCTTGATTCAAACATTCCAGGAAAGAAAGGAATGGATTTGGGAGACAGAGACACATTGACAGGCTTTGTTGTGGAAAGGGTGTTTGGAGATGGGATGGTCTTTTGTAAATACAGTAACATCAAAGCTTGATTAACTTTGAAGTGTGGAGTGATACCAGCATCTTAACAGGAGAGAACCATTAGCAATTTGGGCTAGCATGTGACAAAGGATGAGGGGGTTGAATGGTCAGTACTTTACTGGGAGTAGGATTTAAAGAACAAAAAGTGGGTCTCCTGGACAAAACAAGCTCTGATAGTGAATGGGGTGAGATTGAAGAGAAACTAGGGAGACATGAGTTCAGGGCTAGGGCAGGGTGAGTTTTAGAAAAAGTCACAGAATGACAGAATTGCTGTGCTGCAGAGAGAGACCGTTCATCCCACTGTGTCTACACTAGCTCTCTGAGTAACTTTGTCTTCATCTCCTGTAATTTTTCCATAACCCTGCATGTTACTTACTTCAAAATAACCTCCAGTACTCTCTTGACGACTTCAGTTGAACCTGCCTCTACCACACTTCTAAGCAGAGCCTTCCAGATGCTAATACTCACTGTGTGAAAAACGTTGTTCTCACCCTTGCCTTGCTTCTTTCGCAGAACACTTTAAAACTGTATCCTCTAGTTCCTGATCCATTTATGAGCAGGAACAGTTGCACCTGATCTACTGTGCCCAGATTCCATCATGATTCTGAAAACTTCTATCAAATCTCCTCTTAGCTTTCTCCTCTTCAAGGAAAACAATCCTAACTTCTCTCATCTTTCTGAATAACTAAATTCTCTCTTCCCTTGAACCATTCTCAGAAACCTCTTTTACACTGTCTCCAATGTGTTCACATCCTTCCAATAGAGTGGTACCCAGAACTGTACACAGTACTCCAGCTGAGGTCTAACCAATATCTTATACAAGTTCAACATAACCTCATTGCTCTTGTAATCTATTCCCCGATGAATGAAGCTTGGAATACTGTATACTTTATCTACAGCTCCATCTAATTGTCCTGCCACCTATAATGACTTATTTGGTCCTAAACACCCTTTAGAATAGTACCTCTTATCTTATGCTGCCTCTTCATGTTCTTTGTAACATAGTTCATTACTTTACACTTCTAAACACTGAACTTCATTTGCCACCTGTCTGCCCGCTCCACCAACTTGCCGATGTTCTTTTCAAGTTCTGCACTGTCCTCCTCAAAGTTTACAATGCTTCCAATTTTGTCTCATCTATAAACTTTGGAATTGTCTACTGCACGGCAAGATCTAGATCATTTGTGTATATCAGAAACAAACAAGGATTCCAATACTGAATCTATCCCCCCGGGGACACCACTACAAGCCTTCCCCTAGTCCAACAAATACCCATCACCCAGTCCTCTCTTGTTTTGACCCTTTGTATCCATTTTGCTACACTCTGTATTCCATGGCCTATAACTTACCTCACAAGTCTGCTGTGTGACACTTTATCAAATGCTTTATAGAAATCTATACATACCACATCAACGTCATTACTCTCATTGATCCTCTCTGTTACCTCTTCAAAGTACTTCCACAAGTTAGTTAGACATGATTTCCCCTGCACAAATCCACTCTTACTCTCCGAATCAATTCACATTTTCCCATGTCACTATTAATCCTACCCTGAAAAAATTTTTCTAGAAGTTTCCGCATCAGCAAGGTTAAACTGATTGATCTGTAATTGTAATTGCTGGAGTTATGTAGTCAGGGTGGATTGATGGGAAGAGGTGATGTGGCAGCAGCTGATTGGATAGTCTTGCTCTTAGTAACTAGAATACTCATAGGCTCCCTACACCTTTAGTTGGAGATGAGGATGGAGGGGATGAGGGGATAGATTAAGAAGATGGTTTACCAACGAGTATTAATGATCAGTCAGATCACTTATAGTATTCTGATTGCCACATTACAGGGAGAACATGCAGGCTTTGGTGAGGGTGCAGAAGAGGTTTACCAGGTGCTGCCCAGATTAGAGGGTATGAGCTACAAGAAGAGGCTAAACAAACATAAAGGGTTGTTTATTCTGGAGCGGTGGAGGCTGAGGGGAGACCTGATAGAAGGTTATAAAACTATGAGAAGCATAAATGGGTTGATGGTCAGAATCTTTTTCCCAGAGTTGAAATGTCTAATACTAGAGTGCATGCATTAAATGTGAGAGGGGCAAAGTTCAAAGAAGATGTGAGGGGCAGTTTTTTTTTTACACAGAGAGTGGTAGGTGTCTGGAATGTTCTACCAGGGGTATTGATGGAGGCAGATACGATAGGTGCATTTAAAGGGCTTTTAGATAGGCACATGAATAAACAAGGAATGGAGAGATATGGACCATGGGCAGTTTAATTTGGTGTCATGTACAGCACTTAGTTGGCTGAAGGGCCTGTTTCTGTGCTGTATTGTCCTATATTCTATGTTTTGTTTGGCTGTGGTGGGTTAGATCTATTGTCCACCTGTAGTGATTGGAACCAGGTGCAGGTGGATCTCATTGACTACGAGATTCCTGATTGGCCCAGGTTAACAATCCCAATCAAGGATCTAGTAGTCAATGAGATCCACCTGGACCTGGTTCCGATCAGTCCACAGCCATATACTATGAATTCTGTGTCTCTTAGACTTAAGAGTGCAGAGGTGAAGGCCATACTAAGGGTGAGGGAGAGTAATTTTATTGGGGGTGAAGGCATCAAAGGTGAGTGTGTGAGTGAGCAATGAGCAAATGTAGAGCTGATTCCCCTGGAAATTGCTCGGGAT